CATTATTGTCATTATCTTACGATCTATTTCATAACACCTTTGTAAATGACATCTCTCTCTCTTCAAATCATTTTGATGCTATTTTATTTGTGAAAATTACATGGAGCCCTACTTTTGGAGACCCAATTTCTAAAATCAGATTTTAAAGTTTAAGTTTCAAAAATCGGATATTTTATATATACATACGGGTTTTTTATATTTAATTAAATATTAATAATAATACTATAAAAATTAATTTATAACCCTACCCAACCGTAAATCCCCAACTTCTCACAAGTCCAGCATAAATCCCTCACCCGTCCCCCATCTCTCATCTCTCTTTCTGGCGGCAGGAAGGGTCCTCAGGTCGAACGGTGGCGGGTTTCGTGATGGTAGGTTTTTGGGCGATGGTAGTGCGGTGATCCATTGGAGCTACAGAACCGTGTTAGGGCTCCAACTGTGGCTAGTCCAGGCAACAATCGAACGGTCTCACCCGTAGAAAATCAGCGCTGCATCTCCCTTCATCCACCGATCTGAGCTGCAACGGCCATGACCCGCAACCGGAGCCTCGACACAGATTTTGTCGCTACTGCGATGGCGAATCACAGATTTCGTCGCTATTGAAATCGCCCCGCAAGCTTCCCTTCCAGCGTCTTGTTCGTGAAATCGCCCAGGATAAAACTAATTTGAGGTTCTAGAGCCACGCAGTGCTCGGACTTCAGGAATTTGATTTTCCCCAATAAAATGTATACCCACTGTCGTTTGAGTGTGAATTTGTGATTTTAATGGTGTTTGGGTCGTGGTGCGGTAGTTGGTGGTGGTTTGATGGTGAATTGGTGCTGGCTTGCAGGCAGCTGAGGTTTTTTTTTTTTTAATGGTAATGGTGCGATGAGGCGATGGTCCGGTGGTTGTGATGGTGTGGTGAGGTGCAAGCAGCATGCAGTTGTTTGAATTTGTGTTGTGTTTCATGACTAACTGGGACCGCATAATGGACTAATTGTGACCGCATAATGGATTAACTGTGACCCTAAAATTCGACAATTTGTGACTAAATATTAATTTGAGCCATGTGCAAAAATATTTTGTAACATGTGCTATCATCATTTGAAAGTAACCCGTGACTATAAACAAAATTCTGAGGTGTGACCTGAACTGTGACTTGTGACCTAGACTGTGACTTGTGACCTGAGTCGTCGGAATCGGAGCCGCCAGAACGATCATCGGAATCGGAGCAATCGCCGGAACGATCGCCGGAGCAGTCGCGGGAATCGACACCTGAGCGGTCGCCGGACCGATGGGGGGTGGTAGAGGTGGGGGTGGGTTAATAAACAGCCACTACCAAGAAACCTCCAGATCTATAGCCGTCATCTCTGCAGGGCCAAGTTGAGATGGTGAAGATTGGATTGGAGTGGCCGACGGGCAGGGACGGATCCGACGAGCCAGTGCAGCCGCTCGTGCTGGATCCGTCGAAATATTGATTAATAATTGTACCAATGTTCAACAAAAAGAAGTGTAGCTCATATGGTAGAAATGTCATCTTATGCATGAGAGGTATGGGGTTTGATTCTATGATTTTCCACTTTTTTTGTTTAATTTTTCAATACAATAAACAATAACTAAACAATTATATAATATTATTTCGTTTTCGAAATAATTTCTTTAAAAAATTATTGACTCAAATTATTACTCTATGATATATANATTTTAGGTTGTATTGGATTATATTTTCAAATGTATAAACTTTTTTAAGTTTTAGTGCATTTATATATTGATTGAAATTTTTTTAACATTATTTAATTAAATAATAATAAACAATCTTATTATTACAACGATCACCCTAGTTGACTTAATATTCTGGATTCGTCACTGCCTGCGAGATGGTTGAATGGATTTAGATCTGGAGGCGAACACCACCACCAACTGCAGCGACGAGCCATATCTGGAGGAGACGACTCAATTCAATTGGTAGTGTTTCTAACTTCAACACCAGTCTCATGGCAGATTGGTGTCACGGAGGGAGAAGAGTAAGAACGCTTGGGGCGTTGGGGAGAGAATTGAGAGGAAAGGATTTCATATCCATTTTTTATGGGGTGGATAATCCTTTTTTTTTTTTAAAGAAAAATAATAATTACTACGTGTTAATGAAATGAAAATTTAAAAGAGGGATGCTACAATTACCGGGCAACAGGTGGGCCCCCCACCATTGTGAGGGGCCGGTGAGGGAGTTGTCAACCCCCGGTACAAATATAATTTCCCAATTTAAAATGTAGGAATTGACGTAATTTTCCAATATATATCTCATTTAATCTTACTTAGTGCCGAATGTTGTAATTTTAGTGAAGCTAACTTAAAAAATTAATATAGTGCAAGTTCTATGCCCGGCTATTAGTGCAGAACAACTTCAATTTGACCTAGTCTTCAATTGGTTAAATTATTTTTAAAATAATTGAGCAAACAAAACTAAATTTGGATAAGTGAGGAATATATTCTAATCCCACTATACACATTTCTTGGTCATAAAAGTTATGCATAGTAAATCTTATAATATACAACACCACATTAACATTCAATGAATCACACAAATAGTAAATTAATTTTTATCCTCAAATTGAATAAACTAAATAAATTCATCGGTGCTTCTACTAAAAGTTGTACTCTCATTTCTTTGTCGTAAGAAAATTTATAAAAATTGCAATTACATGCTTTTTTACGACAAATTTGCATTTTAGTACCTAAACTATAGACTTTGAGCACGTTCTTATTATTCCTACACTTTGCTTGACTTGAATATTTACAACCCAAGTTTCGACTTTGATAATTTTATAAATATGATATTAAAATTAGAATAATAAAATCAGCAAACATAAAGAATTTTCTATGACCTATTGAATAAATAGTACTAGACAAAGCTTAAAATATTTAAGAGTGCAAAATAACTTAAAAGTCCTAAAAGAAGGGTGGCCATATAGAATCAAATTTAGTGACCAAACCTTTTCTTTACTTGAAATTCTTTGTTAAAAAAAAAACATTTATGACACAATTGATACGATATTAAATACTTTCAAAATTAAAAGATATATATAATTAGAGTTTCGTTGAAAATGCATTTCGTAATAGTGAATTTTTTAAGAATGTATAGTTCAAAAGTAGAAAAAAATTTAAATTTATTGTGAAAATGGGTTGTTGAAAATGAGTTTTATGATAATGTGGATCAGACGAGGCTCAATACTACATATCGGATATATACACTATAATATAGAAATTATAATACAATAAAAATATCAACTTTATTTTAGATTTAATATAGTGAATTATCCAGAATATCCAATTTAAAAAATTATCCTTGGCTAGGATATCAATACTTGGGGACAAAAAATTCAATTTTGGTGATTTTTGGGGGAACGAGAATAAGGTTTCCATTTACATTTGATTTTCACATTACCAAAAGTCACAAAATGTGACTCGCATAATGTCTTAACAAAATTTGTCAAATTTCCCATTATTATCTTGAAAAATAAGTTGTTTCGTAAACCTATTACACAAACTCGTTTTCTCATGTTAGTTTCATTGCACGAGATTCAACTTATGTAATGTTTGTTTGGAATAGCTTAAAAAATTAAGGTCAAAATCAACAATTAGTTTCACAATACACTTCGTGAAATTCACAATTTATCAATTTTTCTACCATATTTTATCAATTTTTACCGAAATTTACTAAAACTTTTTGTCAAACAACCTACGATTAAATTGTCTGAAAATTACAAACTAATTTTGCAAAAATTCAAAATAAATATGTTAACAGCCATATACCTAATATTATAATTAATTTATAAATCAACTTCTCATTGCATGCCTCTTTATTCAAACATGTAAAAAATTAATTAAATTGAATTATCAATTCTTTGATAGTTAGAATTCAAGTCGTGATGACGTGTTAAGTTTGACTAATTCTTTTCTTGGTCAACAAAAACGGCCACCCTGTCGTTTTCGTTTTCTGTTGGCTTACATAAGACTATCTCCCTCTACAAAATAATTTCAATAACAGTCACTAGAATTCAAGAAAAACTTCAAATTGGTTATTAAAGTATTCTTGTGGCTCGTTTAATCAATAAAATTAAATAATATTTCATATTATGTCACTCCATTAACTTGAGTAACGCCATATCCGATGGAAGAGTTATTCACGTGGACAAACTGTCTTAAAAACGATCACTTTCTTTAGATGATTTTCTATTTTAGAACTACCACAATATTTTTGTTTTTTTTTATTAATGATAAAGGGATATTCAATGATTGTTAGGCGTATTCGAGGCTTAACGGGCCGATGTCGATTCAGGCATAATAAGTTATGTTATCTAACTTTAACTACTAAATATGTCACAAAAATACTTCAATAACCAATTTGAAATTTCACTTGGACTTTACTAACCATCTATGAAATTAACTCATTGACACATGCTCGCTCATTGGAAGGACCCTTTGAATCGGTACCTTTTGGAACTGATCATACGTAATCTCTATACGGTATAATCTGTATTTGTTGTAATAATCAAATGTAAGCTGCGAAAACCGAATCTCCATGAAATTATTTCCTCTCAGTCTCTCTCTTAAATTCTTGAATTTTCCATGTTCTCTGGTTGTTTATGTCCAAACTGTGTACCCAGAAATATAATAGTTTGTTAGGAGTTTTACTTGGTCATATCTGAATTTTTGGTTTCTCCTCTTCTTTAAGAATCTTTATGGTCAAGGGTTTTCTGTGGAAAAGCAGCAGAATACTTTGAATGGCGGTTACTATATATGTTTGAAGACTAGTCATGAAATTGATTGTATGCGAGGGCTTTCCATGAAGAATCGTCATGTGGGTATCTCAGAAATTTGTAAAAATTGATCTTTTATGTGCCTGGATTTAATTTTTAGTTTTTATGCTCAAACAGGTTTCTTGGAAATTTCAGTTTTGATGTTTAGAATAGTCCTCAAATGCGTGTGATTGATTTTACAGAGAACCAGTTTTAACCGTTCAGATGTTAGGGGAAGAGAATAAAGATAAGCCTGGTGGAGGGAGTTGGAAAAAGTACTCGCGGTCGGTTTCGTGGAGTGACCGATCACCTGGAAAGACAAATTCTAGGCCACAATGGAACAGCAAGGCTCGGGGGTGTTTGCCTCCCCTTCAGCCTCTTTCGGTTACTAGGCCTAGCGGGGAGGAATGGCCGAGGGCTGGCTCGGATGATATTGGCATATGGGCGAACCCCCCTAGTACTCCTGGTGCACGGCTTGGTTCAAATTCAGAAAAACCTCCTAGAGAATTTGAATTCAAGAAAGATAAGCTTGCGTTCTTTGATAAGGAATGCTCGAGAATTTTGGATCATGTATATTTAGGAAGTGATGCTGTTGCGAAGAATCGTGAAATTTTAAAGCAGAATGGAATAACCCATGTGTTGAACTGCGTGGGGTTTGTTTGCCCGGAATATTTCAAGAATGAGCTCGGGTACAAGACACTTTGGCTGCAGGACAGCCCGTCTGAGGATATCACGAGCATTTTCTATGATGTTTTTGATTATTTTGAAGATGTTAGAGAACAAGGTGGGCGTGTCCTTGTTCACTGTTGCCAAGGGGTGTCTCGATCGACCTCTTTGGTTATTGCTTATCTTATGTGGAAAGAGGGACAAAGCTTCGAGGACGCGTTCCAGCGTGTTAAAGCGGCAAGAGGAGTGACTAACCCGAATTTGGGATTTGCCTGTCAACTTCTGCAGTGCCAGAAGCGGGTACACGCCCTGCCTGCAAGCCCATCTTCTGTGCTTCGTATGTATCGAATGGCACCTCACTCTCCGTATGATCCTCTTCATCTTGTTCCGAAAATGTTGAGCGAGCCGGGTTCAGAAAGACTCGATTCTCGAGGAGCTTTCATTGTTCACGTTCCTTCAGCGCTATTTGTCTGGATGGGCAAGCATTGCTTGAACGTGATGTCAGACAAAGCCAGATCAGCTGCCTCTCAAGTTATTCGTTATGAAAGGGCACGAGGTCCAGTTATAACCATCAACGAAGGTGAAGAAACATCTGAATTCTGGATTGCTCTTGGCGTGCAAAATCGTTTAGCAGATGGTTGTGGCATACAGGTAATGGAGGGCAGGATTTACCCTTCGGTTCGTCCGGGGCAAAGGAAAGTTGATGAGTATGATCAAGATTTCAGAATTTTTCACAAAGCACTATCCGGTGGGATCATTCCACCTTTTCCATTATCAAGAAGTGGATCCGAGACATGTATACCTGCTAGAGAAAATGGTTGGAGCAGATTGAGACGAGAGTTGACCAGTGGTATTATGAAAGAATTTATCGGGTCTTCTAAATTGAACTGTAATTTGACTCAAGCAAGTGATAAACAGGATGTAACAGATACTCGTAAAGAAGTTCCATTGCCTTCAAGTCCTCAGTGCGATTCACCTGATTCGCTTGCTACATACGAAACTGGCAGCCCTGTTGCAATAATGGAGAAAGTGGAATACTCGGTTCCTCTTACTGATACTGTACTGTCACCATCTCCTTCGCTCAATTCATTGGATTCTTTTAGTTCTTATCTTGTGAGTAAACCGAAATCCAGTTCAACGTCACCATTGCTCTCACCTTCAACCTCCGATTATGCAAGTTCATTTACCTTTTCACCCGCATCATCTAACTGGTCAGACTTATCATATTTATCAGCTCAGCCTTCACCTTCTGGACTTGAGTCTAAAGATCCTGTTAAGGGCAGTTCCCCAGAGGAAAGTGCATGTTTACCTCTTCAAGCATCTTCCCCTCAACCAAAAGAAGCATTTTCCGGTAGTCGTGCTTCGAGAGCGGCAAGTTTATCATTTAGAAGGTCACCCTCCCTTGCAGAGCGCAGAGGAAGCAGTCCTCCTCCTTGGATGATGTTACCTCAAGTAGACGAGGCATCTACTGCTACAACCAATTCGACAAATTTGTCTTTTGACGTAGAAGATGATATTATGCAGGATGTTGAATACAACTTGAAACATGATAAATCTTTGGAGACAAATAGAGAAGAGCCAATGTATGATGCTAGCAGCTACGCTGCTGACAATAATCCATTTGAGTTTTGACAAATACAATGCTGATGATTTATACGTCATCTATGGCATGATGTGCAGTGGAAGCAAACCGTCCATCAGTTGATTGGTAATGATAGCACATGTGAAGACAGTCGTGCCTATTTGAGACGGTTGATTGTGATTTTCTCGTGGAGAAGGGTTCAAGTGTTAACACTTTCATTCAGGTACTTGTTGCACCTCTATAGATAAAAGGCGCCAACTCTTGAACAAATTTTAGTTGTGCAAATATACATGCTCTCTTGTCGTGTCAATGTCTATAACTGTGTTACTGCGCGCTATTCTTTTTTCTCGTGCATTCTCAAAACTATGTCAACGTGTGTTAAGTGCTATAAGATAGGAGAAACTCTTCCCAAAGCGTTTATAACAATATGTTGGCCTTTGTTCGAACAAAGAACTTCTCGTGCCCAAACTTAGCTTCGTGTCTCTTAAGAATTTGTATAGATGCCTTGCTGCCATATACATGTTCACCCATATATGATGGTTTTGATATAAATTCTTTCAACTGTGGAATTTCAGGTAGTTAATGAAGATCCATTGCAGCTCCTCAAGCATTTTGCCTTCTGATGGAGTTGCAGATATAGTTAGTTAAAGAAGGTGAGGAACCGGTTCTGCTTTCACCCACCTTTTTTCTTGTTTAAGATAGACTTGACAATATTGTGTACTAGACATGCGCTTTTGGCATTATAGGGAAAGTTATAGGAATTATGAGAACAAAAGATTCTGCTATATCTTGGTTCATCTAATATTATGTACATTCAGATTCAGCACCTAATGTGTAGTTTTTTAAGTACAATTATAGAGCACTATTTTACTAGCATTTAGTCTTGTCAATTTTACAAGTTATTTAATAATTCGATTTGGTTATCACATCATTCTAGCCTATCCTAGTAAGGACCGAGCTGCTCTGCCAGGCCTGTAAAAGGCCTGGCAGAGCAAATGTGAGATTGGGGGGGGTGTTTAACATTTGGGAGGTTTTTTTTAATGACGTGGGTCCTCGGGACCCACCTCATGTGAGAGAAACAGGCCTGGTAGAGCAGATTAACTCTCCTAGTAATCATATTCATGAATATGTATAAAGAAAAAGGAAATAACAGCTACTAAACAATAAGTACAATTAACATGTTTAGCACATAACCTTATCAGGCAAGGAAAATTGGTCGATAGATCGAAATTACAATGATAGAAGATCTACAAGAAAACAAAGAAAATCGAACCTGGAAGTTGAATGTGAGAAAAAGCTTAAACTTTTTGCTTTCTCAAATCTGTTTTGTCGATCTTAAAATAGCCATCGTTTATATGACCATGATTTCTTGCCTGAACTATTTCCTTGCGATAGTTGCGCCTTCTTGGCATTCAAAGTCGCGCTAATTTCCGTCCCACGCATTTACTCCATTGTCTGTAAATAAAGATACCATTTTCAAAATCTGAAAACATAACCAGAAATGTTAGGCACCGGAGAAGCAATAATAAGTACCAATAGTGGGAGGTTGTCTTTGTTTACCAAGGTATAACTTTCCATGATCTACAAACAGCAAATACAGTTGAGATGAAAGGAGATAAATTACCAGCGTTTAATAAATTCTTCAAACCAGACTTCAACCATTTTCAAGAATTTGCGTTGAGATTAATAAATACCTGGGGTTGGACCACGTATTTGTTTATCATTACTGCTAGGTAACATGGTCATTGCCTACAGGACCTTCGTTGTCACAACTAGGGGATGCATTTCTCTGACCTGTGTTGCCTCCCTTGACAATACGGACGTCAACAAGAAAAGATAAATCGATCTGCAGAGCACGGATGGTAATAACATCCAGAAATGGAGATTTAACTTTTAATATTAGTGAAGGAAAGGAAAAGACTTCAAAGAATGAATAAAATGTGCAGAACTCACCTCCAGTGATCCATCTTCGTTGTATAGGGAGTTATCGGGTTGAGTGACATATTCATCCTCATCTAACGTCTTAGAAACAACAGGATAATCTGGGACTGGCATCAACATAATTTGACGGGATTCAGTATTGACCCAGGATACTTTTCCAACCTATGTCCAAAGATATGTTAAATAGGTTATTGATTTAGTGCAGCTGTAAGCTATAACTTATTCTTCAAATCCTATTAGAGTTGAGCTATAACCGATAAGGTGAAAGCTCAGGGGTCCAGGAGGATGACAACTCCAGAATACGATATGCAATCAAGTCTCCTTCCTGCCAAAAATGATTACAAGATAAATTAAACAAAGGGAGAGGCAAGTTTTCCCTGTTGCACATGCATCAGAAGCAAGACATGTTGGTCCGAAGGTCCGAAACTTGATGTTTGGCTAAGCTTGAAAAGAATTAGAAGTTACTCTTAAGCTTCTTTTCCGCTAAAGCATACTTTAAAAGTTTTTTTTTCAATAACAAAACTTACTTTTCTAGAGTACGTTACTCTCTAGAAAACTAACTTTTAAGCTCAGCCAATCATGCTCTTTGAACGTAGGGAGTCACACATGCTCTTTACATAACCTGTAGGGAGTCACAAGGAGTGTATACTCCTACAAGATCTTGACATAACCAACTTTAATTATAAAAGGAAACCCAAAACTTCCTTCCTTGCCAGAAAATCACGAATCTTTGAAGAGAGAGAGAGAAAAAAAGAATCTACCTTAGGCACATCAGCATGGAGTAAAAGCTTATCAAAGTTAATTCCTTCATCCAGAGTAGAGATGGCAATGGGGCGGGTTCGGGCCGGGGCACCCCCGCCCCACCCTGCCCCACCACTCCCCCGCCCCGCCCCGCCCCACCTTAGACGGGGCAGGGTGTGAGCGGGTTCGGGGCGCAGGCTTACCCCGTTTCCTGCCCCGTTTATATTTTTTTTTTCAAAATCTTCCAATTAACTATTTTTTATTTTTAATTTGTAGTTAATTATTTTTTTTATTCTTCACGGGGCGGGTTCGCGGGGCTGGGCGGGTTTTTTTGCCATCACTATCTGAGAGCTTTTCCTTTCCGTTGCTCAATATTTCAGAAAAATCTTTGTTAGGATCTTTATGGTCATTTCTTGGAGTGAATGTATGTTTCTCCCTCCCCCGTTTTTGGCCCTTTTTCTTGCTGGTAATTCCATTCCACTGGAGAGTGTCCTGATGAAAAAACTCAATACTCGTCTAGAGGAATTGTGGCACCAATATGGATGAGAAATATCAACTGAAAAGTATTGAAAACAATGGATATAAGACTCAAAAAAGAGTACCTTGATCCTCTCCACCATACTTGATTGAGTAGTTTGGCTAAGCTAAGCTTAAAAAGAAGTTACTTTTAAGAAACTTTCTGCTTCTAAGCATGTCCAAATATGTTAAACTTCTGTATTTACTTGAAGTGAACTTTTTAAGCTTAGCCAAACATGCTTGTTAGGATTGAGTTGTTTTCCTTCAGAACTATACTAGAGATAGAAAAAGAGACCGTACAAGTAAATATGCATTGTGCTTTTATATAAGCCATTGACAGTATATATACAGGTTACAAATGTTATTGCTGATAGCAACATAGACAAAGAACTTGATGGCTTGTTGGATATTTATTAAGACCAGTCAGTATGCAATGAAAAGAAGCGAAGGGCAGAAAAAGGGAGGGCTTCGCCGCAATAAATTATAACACGCATGTTCATTTTTACTTTGCAAAAATTTGGATAGTAGTCACCCTAAATAATTATGTGATTTAGGACAATCCTATTCCAAATAGGATTGGTTTCATCTCTTTTTCTTCATCTTTGTCAAGAATGACGGATACGTTATGCTTAATTAATAAACCCCAAAGATCAATTATTCAAGAAAAGAAGTTCGAGACAATTATTGGATCATTTTGATATGTACCCATTATCTCAAAACCTTTATCACATCCTTTCTCTAACAGGCTGTGATTTTTAAATACTGTGTCTAGGACAACTTCATGACTACTACCCCAAAAATAGGTTAGTACAAGATTATTCATCATAATCTGACGTGTCCTCTTAATCAAAACTTACTTCAAAAATATGGACTTCCCTGACCTCACCCTCCTAGATGCCGTCATATTACTTAAGAAATGATAATGCTCTATAAAATTCAATGTTGCTACGTATAAACCCCAAAAGAAAAGAGATGCAAAAGGATGCAGCCATAATGAATACAGACAATATCATAATGCATACATAGAAGCATACCACTGGTACTTGATNACAGACAATATCATAATGCATACATAGAAGCATACCACTGGTACTTGATTTTGTTCCACAGCATGCTCTGCATCAAACCAAAAATATTTCAAATTTCAGAATTCTGAGGTAATATAGCACACTATAGTCATGCAATTATTAGAGACCAACAGGGAGATCATCATTTCCCAATTGCCAAAGGAAAGAAAAATTAAAAAAAAAAAAAGACATTGAAGAAAAGTATGTTGTAAATTGTTTCAATAACGATGATTATTTAGAAAAGGCCCCAGAATCTAAATTAGATGTCTGCAGTCAACATGTTGTAATGATTTATGAAATTTAGAAGAAAGAGAAAGAAGTGTATCCGAATTAGAAAGAAAGAAAGACGAATTCAAGCATAATTTGAAAGAGTTTATAAATTTTTCCGTCCTCGTAATTTTTACTAAGAGAGAT